TTTTTTTTTTTTTTGGGTCGTTCAATATGCTTTGTTTCTTTGATCTTATGATTGATTGCTTCCCATCTCACTCAACCGTGAATTTTATTTTGCAGTGCTGAAATATTTTTCGGAGGTGACAAGGGTCCCCCTGACAAGGTTAGATTTCATTTACTGGATCGATGAATTTGTAAATAAAAAATCATTGTATTCTATTGTTTTTGTTAAGATACTTAACTATTTATTACTCCTTTTAGGCGTCTTTATGTAGTATTGTTGTTTCTCTCCCATAGAAGTTTGCTGTTATGGTACTGAACAATTTTGCAAATTTGTTGTTTGCAGGTCTTCATTATTGGCCCTGTTAAGCAAGTTAGAAAAGCCGCAGCCATGCTAAGGGGCAGAATGCTGCAAATATACTAGAACTTGTCGTGTAAATAACGATCTACAGTTAAGATCTTAATGTGCCAAATCAAGTTCCCATCTTTGATGTATACTGGAAAAGCTGATGTATCAAATATTTAGACCGAAGTTCCCATCTTTGATATATTCTGGAAAAGCTGCTGTATCGAATATTTAGACCGGTTTGACAGAAATCTAGGAATTCTCTATTCCTTTAACAAACACAGGCTCAAGGTATGGTTAAAGGCAGACCAATAATGCTGATAAAACTGTCATGTAGGCATATTGTTCTTATATAGTTGCATGGATTGACATGTTTGAAAACAACGGTTGTGTTGTGAAGTTGCCATTATAAAATGCAACACCCCAACGAATTATATTATTATTATTATTATTATTATTATTATTATTATTATTATTATTATTAGTAGTAGTAGTAGAAATTTTTTTGCTTATATTTCAACAAATATCGCTTATTAGGCTCAAATTTTAAAATCATAATTTATATTTTAACATGTCAAGTAGAGGCCCAATTACTATGGGCACGATTGATAACGGATCAAAATCGGTTCTCATTCGATCCTGAGTTAAAGTAAGTTATTGTTATACCCCGAATTTTATTAATAAAGGATAATACTAGCTTTTAATTTTAAGCTAGCATTTGTTAATAAATAATCATGTTCATGTTCAAGTTCAAGTTATTCAGCTAGTTAAATTCCAAGTTCGACTATTAGTCGATAAATTTTCAGATTAAATTCCCATTTAATTAGTTAAGGAGTTCGGAATTAATAAGCCAAGTGGACGAACTATTCGAGATATTAATGTTCGGATTAATCGTCTAAGTCAAAAATATTCGAATTAAGTTTCGAATGTCATATTTATGTTCGGAATAATTTTCCGACAGTTAATTCGGTTAAAGTTCCTTATGTCAAGTTCGGTTTTTCGATACAGCGACGCGTTCACACTTGGTACACCGCCCATCATTAATTAAGTAATGGTCATTAAACCTTGCTTAATTAACTTAATCCATGTTTAAGCTAATTAATCGTAATTAGCTTAAAGATAATCATGATTAGTTTAATGTTAATGATAATTAATTAATATTAATGAGGATTAGATTAAGGTTAATCATGTTTAAGAGTAATCATGTTTAGCTTAGCTCCAAGCATGCTTAGCACGACCATTAGTGCGCATAAGCACGCTCTTAGCGTACCTAATGACCGTGAGGTTTTGGTCACTACACTTCACGTAAGAAGTTATCATGTTGGGACACATGGAAGCTTATGGTGTCTTGGGGTGATGACTAAACAAGGCATGAGGTGAGTTAGCACCAAGTCGCCACCCTTCGGCCTTAATCACGCGGCACATGGCGCAAGGCCATTGACCGAGCAATTGTCCCAACTTTCCCTCATCTTTCACCGTATTATAAGTCAACTATTTGGGATGAATAAATAGCTTATCTCATAAGCTATAAGTTCAGCAAGTTCTTAACAAGAATTAAACTAGATTAGCCATCATACACGGCAAATTCTTCACGCACGTACGCGTGGGAACAAAGGACTATGTCCATTCTTGTGATTTCAACCGAGCAATTAGGAAGGTAACTTCATGTTCAGCATCTTTTCATGTTAATTAGAGCACGTTAAGTTCAGTTTATTGAGTTCATGTCAAGAAATGCAAGGGAAGGTCATGAAGGGTTCGGTTTTGGCCATGTTGGGCCGTAATCGAGTGATATTCAATTTTATCCGACAACTCTCGAGCAATTCATGTTTATTTGATCATTTTATGTCAGTTTATAGTCAGTCAAGTCATGATGTCCGAGAGAAATTGAGTTTTGCACGGATAATGTTAAAGATTCGAATTTTTGAAGTTAATCGGCTTAAAAACGGAATTTTTAGTTCCAAGCATGTTTTGGCAAGGGTTAAGCTTAAAAATCATGATAAATCATATATTAAAGGACTGTTAAGTTTCAGCAAGTTTCGAGTTGAAATGCTCGGTTAAGTTGATCGTGATTTTAGCCTATTTTCACTTCCGAACCATCTTTAAATCTAACTGAACACTCCCGAGTAATTTATGTGTATTTGGTCATTATATGTTATGTTATGTCCAGCTAAGTCATAGTTGCCGGAAAAAGTAACCGGACGGCCGGCGAAAG